AGAGAGAGATGCCTTTTGCACTTGGCAGTTCCCCTCAGCCTCAGTCACCGGCACTCTGCCTTCAACTTGCCTTCCGTTCGACTTTCTTCGTCGTCCTCTCCCTGCCTACTCGCCCACTGGAACATCTTTTACGAGGAGTAAAATATCCGCAACTAACTTACATCATCCATGCTTGTGTAGGGTTCGTGTTGGGCAAATTGTGTGGGATTCATGTCGAACAAATTGCAAATGGAAGGACGAAGGGAAATACAAGGAAATATGACGAAAGCCTTTTGCAATGATAAAGCGAAAAAAGGCCTTCGGTATATTCGTGTGTTTTCTTTGTTCGTCCGTTCTTTGTTCTATGGAGAAAAGACACGCATATGCAGAAGGAACTTTTCGATTATTGCTCTAAAAAAACAAAAAAAAAACGCTCTCCTTGTATTTTGTTTAACCCATTCACGTCCTTCATAAATCTCTAAGTATCTACTCTTCTTATTCAGCTATACCCATCCTTCATTGAGCGGTACCAATGTTTATTCAGGGTATCTCTCAATACAACTAAGCAATTTATCATCACAATAACTCCTTCTTCTACCAACAGTGTGCTATAGATCATTAGAGAGACTCTCCAGCTGGCCACCTCATCTCCACGTGCACTGATGACCACGCCCGTAAAACTGATGCAATCTCCTTTTCATTAATCATCTCCTTTGTTTCAACGCCGGTTCCTGTCCGGGAGACTATCTCGTACACGGCCTCCTCGGTCCTTACATCCTAAAACCTTGTAGTTATTTTTTCTTTCTCTTTCATCGTTTCTCTCTTTCTCTCTCTCTTTCTTAATCTCTCTCTCTGACTCTCTCTCTCTCTCTCTCTCTCTCTCTCTCTCTCTCTCTCTCTCTCTCTCTCTCTCTCTCTCTCTTTCTTAATCTCTCTCTCTCTCTCTCTCTCTCTCTCTCTCTCTCTCTCTCTCTCTCTCTCTCTCTCTCTCTCTCTCTCTCTCTCTCTCTCTTTCGTTCTCTCTCCCCCCCCTCTCTCTCTCCCTCACTTTCTCTTTCTCTCTTCTTATCCCTCTCTCTCCCTCACTTTCTCATTCTCTCTTTTTATCTCTCTCTCTCTCTACCTATCTAACTTTCTCTCTCCCTCTCTCTCTCTCACGTCCTATCTGATATTCCGTCTTGAGCCTATCTCCCTTAACGAATGCACTATGTGACTTGACCTTGCCTGCCTGCCTGCCTCGCCTGACCATCTGACCCTCTCCCTTTTATTCCCTGCTTTATCGTTTTTCAATCTTCTCGGCTTCGTAAACACCCACCGCTGCTTTTCTTTCCCCGGAGATTCCGATCGTGAAATTCTGATTGATTTTCGACTTGCTGGCTCACCATTTTTGATAACCCTGTTTAGCGTGTTGTTTTTCTAATTCCTGGTCATTCATTTATCTGGTTGTTATTATTTTTTTCTCGTTTATTTATTATTCAAATTTCTTTGTCTGGTTATTATCTCTGTATCCAAATGCTATTTTTTTAGTTATTATCCATTCGTTTATATAATCACTATTTATTCATTTATATAACTGCTTTTTATTTATTCATCTAATTACATATAATCCATATATCTAATTACCATTTACTGATCTATTCAATAACCATTTAATCATTTATCCAATTATGTATGTATATTTTTTTTACGGATGAAGGCAGTTAATAGTTCGTATATCAAAAATAATTATTAAATTCTTAATTATTAGTCTATTCTTCCTCAAATTACGTGATGATAAGAATTGGCAATTAATAGAAATAAGTATAGAATTTTTTTATCATGGTGAAAAAAAGAGGAAAAACGAAGAGGAAAAAAATCTAATTCTCGAAGATTGAAAAAAACGTGAATGTCATAAAGCGAAAGTGAAGACGGAGGAGGAAAATAGCTGATAAAAAAAGAGAAGGCTGGAAGGGAGAAAATAAGACAAAATAAAATAGAGCAAGATTAAAACTAAAATGAAAATGAAGAAAGGAAAGAATATGAAGACGAAAAGAAAGATAAAAATAAAGATAAGAATAAGAATAAAAAAAAATTAATAATAAAATAAACGGAGAAAGTACAGAAAATGAATTAAAAAAAACAAGGAAACGAGGAAACAAACAAACAAACAAGCAAACAACAACAAAAACATCACAGAAAGCTAATAACAAGTGGGCTTTGCTGTTGACCATGTTGATGAATAAGAAAACAGCAAAACAGCGAGAGAGGATGTAAAAGGAGCACAAACGCCAAGGAGAAGGAGAGGAGAAAAGCACACACAAGGGCGCTCTCACTTCAAAGGGCTGCGCAGGATACCTAGGGAATCTACTCACCGCGCGGACTACCTGACGGAGAGGCGAGGTGCCGCTCCACCAGGAGAGGTGAGCGGGCGGATGGGACCCCACGGCGCGACACACCAGGCGGATGGACTTGCCGGCGGCTATGGGATGCTCGGAGCTCAGGATGCGAACTTCCATAGGAGGCACTGAAGGAGGAGACGAAG